CAGTAGTAGAAACGAAATTTTTTGCTTGACTGAAGAAGACTATATTATTAGAAGACAGCTAGATTGCATATTTTTTGTGGAACAAATGAACTACCATCGCCAAAGCACTGAGCCACTGCTCTGTTAAAGCAAGAAGATTGTGCGCATGTTTGATCACACAACTCGCCAAAGCAAACTCGTGTCAAGTAGCTATAAAAGTTGTCTTATCAACACAAAAACAATCCAACGAGAAAAAGAAACGATGTTTAGACATGTAAGAGCAATAAAATTTATAGCTAAAAAATATGGGGAAAAGGATTTATATAAGTGGGAGCTAGGGCTTAAAATCCTATAGTAACTTACCAACCCACTATTGTTTGTTTTTGAGCTGTGTATTATTGACTAGAAAAGGATAATAAGGATATCAATTATACAATAATTCGGCGCATCTTCAAGGGGCGGGTTTACCTAACAATAAACTATAAATATTCGTACAACATACAACCAAATCATGTCTCGACAATAATTTTTCCGAATTTTTGATGATCGATTTCATTATTCTACCTGTGGTACTTATGCATCACATGAGCATAGTAGTAGAGATGATATTAAGTAATGCGGTGCAAAAATATAAATAGTGAATAGCGATAAAGAAGTAAAACTTCTTAAGCGCACTTTAATAAAGAAGGCACATGTACAGTTTATGATATATTTTTTATTATATTTCTATTATTTTTATTTTTTTACTAAAGTTTATTGTATAATCATCCTAAACTTTGGAGGCAACTGTACATATATCACATGAAGCATAACTACTAGAGCGGATCTTCTGCCTTTAACTCTCATCGAGCATGTGCTAAATCTAGAGAAAATGTCGATTATTAATAACTATATTTTTTGTCTATATATAATAAAACTATCCATACCTATATATCCTTGTCTCCGATCAGATATAGTGGAAGGGATCTGTATTTGTTTTGCTTTCGGTTTGGAAAGTTGCTCACGATGGTTTAAACCTTGAGCATTATTAAGGTTCTGCTTAGAAACTATTGGCCCACTACCTTTTTCAATACCAGCCTTTTTATAAACTTTAGTAAACTTCCGTAAATGGTAGAAAAATATATCATGTATGAAATAAATGACACCATGCCAGATCCCCTTAGTGACTGAAAAATTGCCATGGAGTAATAAACATGAGGCAAATGCTACGATTTGTCCTGGCCGAAGATGTACGACCATCTGGAGCTAGGAAACATAGCTCTCCCCCTTTGTAATCCCCAGTGCAACTAAGACACATAAACTATTTGCCTCATCATGTTCATCCCAATGATAGTCACTAGTGGTATT